TTTTTCAAATATTCCTTAAACTTTCTATACAGCCATATTTACTACTTCTGCGTGTCTCCATTTTTTCTCCTGTTTTCCAATACACTTTTCCTATCCATCATTGCTTTGAGTTTATTAAAATCTACATTTTGGTTGCATTTTTAGATATGCATTTAACTATACTCAGCTACACTGTGTACTGCATTAGACATTTTATTTCAATGTTTCTGCTATTTCCATTACCTTGACTAAGTCTCATCCTCATGTTCCATTTACTGCAGCACAAGAAAGCCTTGTTAAACATTTTCCATTTTAAGGGACACATCCTCATATCACCTTCATTTCATCCCCAGCCTGCTGAGGAGGCAGCCTAGAATGATCCAGTATGGAAGTGGAGTTTCCCTTCTACACATGAAACAAAATTTGCCATATGGATGAATTAGGATGCCTCAGTGATATGCCTGGACCTGACATGGTCAGGGCCAGCAATCTGCTCAACTCCTGTTGGCCACCTAAGTCTGCTGCAGGCAAGGTAATTCTACTGCCATTTTTTTTGGCTACAAGAGAGACATTTCTGATCTCCACAGCTTCTCTTCCTGTCTTCTTTTCAAAGGGAATGTTATCCTTCAGGCATCCCAAAATAGGGTTGAATTTCCCTATTCCCTCAGAATTTCTACATCTCTGAAAATCATGCATTCCTAAGAAAGGCATTCTTGTGAAAAAGATGTAAAGATATGGAGTATGTTTTTTTTTTTCATTTGAAAAGGTCTCACAATCTTTTAGAAGACCAATAGTTCTATTGATTTTTTCCCCCTTCCCTGTGATGTGGGTGGGACATCTTCTGTAATGGGGGCATCCTGTTTTCTCGTGTTGCACTTGTGTTTTTGGATTGCTTGGATTTGCAACTTTTTAGGTTGGTTAGGGAGTGTGAAAATGTTTTAGATTTTTCTCACATTCACACTCTTTCATACACACAAATTTTCCCTTTGCTCCCTTGAGTGGTTTACAAATACATTTCAGTGGGTGGTTTACAATGTAATTAGTATCCATCTTAGTTTTATATTCTACTGGAATCTCAGAGAAAAAGCAAGAGTTTCAGCTCAGAGGGAAGAAAAATATCATGTAAGAATGAGGGAGGAAGGAAGGAAACTGTAGTCAGATAATGAGAATTTGGGGTAAAGAAATAAAATGGGAAGGACAGAAATGAGGCACAGAAACAAAACCCAACATTATTCTGCTAATTAAATCAACTGCAGTAAAAGGTGTGCTTGTTTTGCCATGTTTACTGTTCTCCCATTCAAGGTTTGGTAAAATGCTTCCTTGGAGGTAAAAGTAAATAATTGCCTTGAATGCCACTAGGCAAACAACAAGACTTGTGAAGTTCTCTCAAAGTAAACAAAAAGGGGAAAAATGAGGGGGGAAAGGAGGCCAGGGCAATCCTTCAAGACAATTAAAACTTCTTTTTTCTATGAAATCTTTCCCTATCTTCCTCCCTCCCTCTTCCAAAGTTGTGGATAAGACGTTTTAAAGGACTTTGGAAGAAGACCTAGTGTGTGTGTGCGTGCATGTATAAATAAAAGAGCCAATGGGGTACAATGGTTAAAGGAGTGGACTAGGAGCATGGAAGCCAGCTGAGTAATTTTGAGTCAGTCACGTTCAGCCCTAGATCAAAAAACTTCTATCTCCTGACCCATACTGGACCAAAATGGTAGATTACAGTCCATAACTTTCCTTTTTAATATAATTTTTATTGAATTTTTATTACAGTAGTAAAAACTAATACAAACTAAACTTAAAGAGAAAAGAATAGGAAAAAAAGAATAAAAAGTGCAGGAAAAACAAAAAATAAATAAAAAGAAATATATAAAGAAGTGACTTCCAGCCTTTATCACAACACGTATAAACGAATTTAATAACTCTTCACCCATCCACCTCCCATCTATGAGGTTACACATACCTCTTCATCCCTTATCCCATTCCTTACCTATAAGCACATCCATAAAACATCAACTTTTCAATCCTGGTGTTAGCAAAAATCCATAAAGGGTTGCCAGAACTTTGCAAAAAAAGTCTTAATTTAACCTTGATCAAATAAACCAACTTTATATTCCTTCTTTTTACTAAGTCTTAATCTTTAATTCAATCAAAAATTGTTATAGGATTTGATTTCTCTAAAATTCTTCTTTATCCCATCCCACAGATTTCTTCAAGGCTTTAACAAGACTCTTTTGTAGATCCAATAAGAAAACATTTTTCAGGTCATTCTCTTTATCATTTGTATTTCCCTTTTAATTTTTAAAACTTCAGTCAGTTTCTTTTGTATATCCAGCAAAGCATCCTTTTCCAAATCATCCTTTTGGTCTGTCATTTGTAGTTCCACTTTTGGTACTCTCTCTGCCTTGTCTGATAAAATTTGTTCTACATCAGTCATTCCTTCATTAACATATTTTAGACATAGTCTATCCATAGAAGCAGACATCATTACTGACAGTGGTGACATTGTAGTTATTAATTTTTGGCATCGTTCTTCAAAGATCTCCTTTAATATTTTCAATGTTATAATGTTTTGTGTCATTTTGTAAGTCCCAATATTAACTGGCATGAAGAATAGGCTTGTATTTTTTTTCCTTCTGCTTAGAATCTGTAGTCCCCTTTAGTGTCTAGTTTCTAAAATCATCACTTAACTTTGTTATGGCTTACAATAGCCAGGGTAGACAAAATAAGTCTGTTTCCCATGAGAAGCTGTTTATTTTTTACAATTAATTCCAAAGTCTTACAGTAAAAATCAATATTCCAAATTTATCTGGACCCTTAATCCATTTATAACTTTCTTAGATCAAAATCTTATTTAGGTTTTTGCTGTTTATTTCAAATTCTTTAACTTCATGAGAAGCTGTTTATTTTTTACAATTAATTCCAAAGTCTTACAGTAAAAATCAATATTCCAAATTTATCTGGACCCTTAATCCATTTATAACTTTCTTAGATCAAAATCTTATTTAGGTTTTTGCTGTTTATTTCAAATTCTTTAACTTCTTAAGCTTATAATTATTTTTCTTTTGTTCAGAGTTGAAGATAAATTCACTCAATGAAGACTTTTCAAACTTGTCACTCTGAAGACCTCTAATAGCTTTAAGATGCTTAACAGGCAATTTCCAAAAGTGAGGTTTGCAAACCTAGTGTCCTTTAAAAGGCTCTGCCATGGTTGCAAACAAGATGTCTGGTCCCATCGTCCTCGACACTCAAACATGCAGAAAACCACTATCCTGTGGTCTCCTCATGAGAAGCAGCCATCCAGAGCATATGTGGGTGATCTCTAACCCTAACCCTAACCCTGGGAGATCCTATCAGTCTCAAAGAATATTGATAGTCCTAAGGGGAAAAAAAGCCCTGTTTTCCAACTGTTGTTCATAGGATGTTTCAAGCAAGTATGCCTGTGCTTTTCTTTTGAGCTGTGTTTGTGTTTTTGTTTCCTCCATATATAGGAGACTTGATAGTGCTGGCAAAACAAACAAACAAATCCAAATTTAAAAAATGACCCCAAACCCCTCCCTGCCATGTTTTGGACAGTGGTTGGTACTTGTTTTTCCCCCAAATAGGTGACAGTATGTCAGGTTCAGCCCAAAGAACTCCCCGAGACAGTGCAGATACATTTCTGTTGCGTTTATTAGCTTCTCCCTCAAGACAGAAATCTCTCCAGACTGAATCTAACTCCCCAAGCCAGCAAGCCAAAACACTGTGAATTCCTTAGGGTGGTGCCAGCCTCATCTTCCTAAACT